GGTGAATGTAATGAAGTAAGAATAACCACCTCTAGCATTTTCATTTATTGGTCCACATACATCTGTATGTATCAATCCCAGTATGTCAGGAGCTCGCGCACTATGTCCCACAAAAGGCGCTTTGGTCATTTTTCCTAGAAGACATGCCTCACAAGCCGAGTATGGCTCAAACATTGATGGATTAATATATCCATCATTACTCAACTTGTTGATTCTATCTTCTCCAATATGACCTAATCGAAGATGCCAAACATACTTTGGGTTTGGACTATCTCTAGGGCGTTTATTAGTTATGGCATTTATATCATTATTTTGTTGCTTATTGGCATTGGTAATCGCATTACCGAACATTGTAATGGTATAAAGATTATTGGTTAATAAGCCAGAACCAACACATCTCCTATTATGATAAATAGAACATACATCATCAGCAAAAGAAAATTCATAATTCTCTTTACTCAAACGAGGTATAGAGATGATGTTCCTAACAGCATTCTTATAATGCAAGCAATTTTTCAATACCAATACATGTCCAGAAGGCAAACATAAACGAAAAGTCCCTATAGCTAACGCAGCAACTCTTGCTCCATTTGCAAATGTTAGGACAATTTCATTTCGCCTAAGCATCCTGCTTATTTCCAGATTCTGCAAAGACATACAAATATGTGAGGTTGCAGCAGAATCTAGAACCCATAAGTTGGATTCAGCACTAACCATAAGATTAGTTTCAATAAGCATAGACACCATACCTTCGCAAGGTTGGTCCTTTGGCTTGACCTTCAAGCTCGCGAGGTACTTCCTGCAGTTCCTCCTCCAGTGCCCTTTGACACCACAGTAGTGACAATTCCCTTTTTCAACCTTGGGCTTTGATTGCACAGCATGTTTCATAGGCTTCTTCCATTTCTTTTTCTTCAAAACAGTTTTACTCTTTGAAGAAGAAGCCTTAGCTATAGCCACCACATTGGGCCTCGTGTTGTGCATTTCCTTCTCATAAACTACCAACATACTATGTAACTCAGCAAGAGTTTTCTCCATTTTGTGCATGTGGAAGTTTTGGACAAAACCGAGAGAAGGAATCGGGCAAAGATTGGAGGATCAAATCCACAGCTAACTCATTATCCATAACAAGATTAAGCCTAGCCAACTCTTCTATGTGCCGGATCATTTTCAAAGCATGATCATTAACCGATGATCCCTCAGCCATCCTCATACGGTACAATGCCTTAGATATCTCATATCTAGAGGTTCGACCATTCTCATCAAAATATTCTTTTAAGTGCAAGATGATCGACCTAGCATCTTCCATAGTTTCATACTTCTTCTGCAATTCATTATTCATTGAAGCAAGCATGTATGACCTAACTTTTAAGTCATCATCACGCCATTTATCATACGTGACTCGCTCCTCTTGGGTCCCACCCTCAGGAAATGAGTCTGGCATCTTTTGATCAAGTACATACCCGATTTTCTCCGAATTGAGAACAATTCTCAAATTTCTCACCCAGTCAGTGAAATTGGGTCCAGTCAAACAATTCTTGTCAAGTATAGAAGCGAGTGGGTTTGTGGTCACCATTTTCGGAGTAATAATATATCGTGCAGAAAATAAATTGTTAGCCGTTGTCTTTCAAAATAACCATTTCATTTTGGCCTTTAAATGAAATAGTGCCTCCCACTAAATTTTTCGAATCCCATACTCCTTAAAATGGGAAAACGGTAATCTTTGTTGGGTAAAGATTACTAGTGGGGATTGAGTCCCACTGGCCATAGCCCACCTCACCTACGGTTATTGGTGTTCTATTAACTTAGTGAGTGAACTAACTTGTTCAACACATCACATGCGAGTCCCAATCATAACTTTGGCCTTTTAGACCATGAATGTCTCACCTGACAGTTATTGACATCATGATCATAATTAAGTCTAGCACATCATCTCATGCAAGTATTGAAAACACAAACGATCCCCTCACCTAACAGTTATTGGAAATCGTTTGGCTCCAACCCCACAACATCACATGCATAATGGAGTGATCCAATATTATAAATGGCAATTGACCCCTATGTATCCATAGCCGGTCAATCAACCACTATAATATTGGACCAAACCATGACGATGGAAGGCCACGAGTCCGAAACCCGTTTCGACTTAATATAATTAATAAGGAGGTTTGGGTCGTTATTAATGGTCTCACTTTGCACATTAACCGGTTTAACATGCATAACAACTGAATAAATAAATAGATATCAAATGCATAAAAATCTATCCTACGTGGTGATCATGGAATTATGGCTCAATGGGTCTCGAGCCAATGAGTCCCATTTAGCCATTTTAATGTTTTAATAATAGAGATCCGCTCTTCACTTCTTCTTGGATCCTTGAACTCTTCACGTACCGGGCCCATAGAGCTCTCCGGCTTTAATGGCTCCTCTTCATGTAATGTTTACATCAACAATTGATAATACTAAACTATACTAAAAAAAAAATACATTACATGGAAATAAAAAGAAGGACGCAGCCTCCATTTAATAATTACAACCCCAAAAAATACCTGTAATCATCATACATTCATCCATACATCAATCATATTGATTAGGGGTTTTTCCATGATCACCACCCTTCCTCACGAGCCATAAATTCTAAATTTAAAGCTTTGGAAGGCACAAATAAAATTCTGCACTGAATCAAATTCATGGCCGAGCAACGTAAGCCACGTCAAGAAATCAAAACAGGTGAAACAAATTTCACGTGCGTGATTCCAACTGATGGTAGCGTTGTCGCCTCTCGATTCATAGTCGTGAATCATTTTGCAGAAGAAAAGGCAAATAGAAAATAAGGTACAGATTTTTGATTCAAAATTGATTTAGTTTCGATTTTTGCTCAGTTGATCAAATTTATCATATAAATTAATCAACTTCTATAGGCCACTTAAGAGCAAGCAATTCTCTCAACAAAGTAAATTGCTCATTGGATCGCAAAAATATATATATGAACCAAAATCAATTAAACGCACGAGAACGCCTAAGGATTGGCTCGATACCATTGTTGGTTTTCTACGGAACATGCATAGTTAAAATTAAATATAAACGCAGCGGAAAATTATAACCATACATGTATCTCCAAAGGCGTTGTTCGTGCATTTCAATCAAAAATCGGAAAGACCATAGGGGTTAAACGAATTACCTTTCGTAGCGTGCCCAAAATGATTTCGGTTCGGATATTCTTCGGTTCAAGCCCCACAAGCGTCGGACCTCTAGTTCGAGACACACCACCAATCGCACGACGAACGGAAGAAAGAACTTGCGGGTAATCACCAATATAATTGTGCTAGCAATCCCGTGACGACAATTCTCCGCACTCTCGATATTTCAGTCACGTCGTCGGAAGAGAGAAACATATTTTCTTAACTCCGACGAACGCATGATAATGCCCTTAATTGCACCCTTTCTGCGTCACTATTTCAGCAACCGTTGCTGATAGCACTTTATTAGTGGGGTCAGCAACGGTTGCTGATCGCCACCCTTCACACGATCAGCAATCATTGCTGATCGTGTGTGCATAGAACACACGATCAGCAATGGTTGCTGGTCGTGGATGATGCCCACGGTCAGCAACTGTTGCTGACCGTGGGTGATGCACACGGTCAACTGCTGACCGTGTGCATGCGCTATCATCATCATTTTCATTTTTTTTTATTTTAAATTAAAACACACACGATCAGTAAGGAGCTGACCGTTGTTGACCGTGTACACTTTTAATTAATAAAATTAAGAGTGTAAAATCATATGGCACATTAACATGTGCCACTTTAGGTTTGCGTGTGCATCATATGCACGCACGATCATGACTGAAATAAAATTAAATTAAATCATATTTAATTTAATCTCAATCTGACTAATCGATTGCTATAATTGCAAACATATTTGCAATATTGCATCCTCCGTATAACGTCATTCTAAATTGGTTATGGTGTGTGACATCCCTAGGTTCATCACTGATCTAGTAGTAGGACTTGCACTAACACGTTAGTACTCCCAAGAGAATTGATTGTCCCGATCAACCTCTAGGTCCTACAAGCCACGATTGACATCTAGCAATATGTCATGGCTACCTAGATAGTGTGAATGTTTTAAGAACATAATGAACCTGTCAGCTTTGGTTACAGTGTAATTCAATCCTCTGCCTTACTATGTCCCGATCGAACAAAGACCATGGAGTATTTGTCAAGTCACCAATTCGATCATATGCACAAATCTAATTGACATACATTTTATATGAGACATGAACAGTTCATTCTCGGTTACAACCCCGGCCGAGGATTTCAATGCAGTGTCAAGATTAGATTGCATAGGACATCATTATTGTACCTTGCATATAACAAGGAGACAGATTCCATTTTGCGCACACGTGTAACTTCGTATGTGAACGAACTATGGCCATCAAGTACAGAGACGAATCAACGAAGCGGCAATATACGCACCTGTGAACCATAGCCATCCAACATACAAGTCAACACTGTACCTCAGGTCTAAGGATTATTTACACAAAACCAGAGCACGAACGATTAGACATTGACCACGCTAAAAGTTTCCATGTTGCTAATCATTCTATGCATGTCACGTTCAGTGAACTTGTCTGATACAAGCACCTGTGTTCTAACTCGGGTATCGCAATATCCAATGACTCGTGACTCGTCATTCCCTTAAGTATCCAATACTTATTGGTGAAGTTACGAACACACCGGTCTCAACAGGATCATTAATATCCACTCAATGATCCATCGACCGAGAACAATTTAAAGATTCAGTCTAACTGTGAACCTGTCACACATATTCTTAACGTCTCAAGAATAGGTCCAGTCACAACTGATCTTATGGAATCATTCATATATTTAAATAATTGGACAAATGAATGAATGCGTCCTTGCCATTAAATAAATAATGTAATTGAAAGTACAACTTAAATCCCTAACATGTAACTATTACATAGTAACTTTAGGGCATACATCTAACATTCTTATCACCAACGATAGACCTCATCTCCTTCGCTTTCTCTCGGTAAACCCGACCCTTCTCTTCCACCATCACCAGCCTCAGCGACTCGGCCACGGACTGCCTCGTGACCGACCCGTCGAACTCATTTCTTGGTATCGGATACCCGATCTGTCTCTCCTCCAAGAACCTCGCATTTAGTCCTTGATCTGCCACGAATGTGAAGAGTAGTAGGGCTCTCTCGAAGCTTAGCGCCTCCACGGCTGAATTCCACCCGCCATGAGTCAAGAACCCGCCCACCGAGTCGTGCGCGAGTATCTTGAGTTGAGGCACCCAGCTACCCCAAACCACGCCACGCCCTTTGACTCGCTGCTCAAAACCATCAGGCAACACGATCGACTCAGTGTCGGCCGAGCCGAGTTGAGTCTTGAGCACCCAAAAAAAGGGTAACCCTGAAAGCTCTAGCCCTAGGGCAATCTCGGTCAGTTCGGTTTGGCTTGGTTTGGACTCACTCCCGAATGCCACGTACACCATGGTACCTTTCTTTTGCGCATCGAGCCATTCCTTGATCGACTTCCAAGAGTCGGTTTTGCCTTGCGTCTCGGGATCGCCTGGGGGAAGTTGCCCTACGGGGAAGACTGGTTTGGCGTGCATATCGTTGAGGAGGCTCAACCATTCGGGTTCGACCTCATAACTGCTTCTAAGTGCTATTATGTCACAGCATTCTTGGCCTGCCCCCATGCGATATATGTCTGTGACGCCCGACGCATTGCCCGTAACCACATCGAAAATCTTCTTGATCTCAAATAGGTGGAATGCGACTTTAGTTGGGAACGGAACCCACTTGGGGGGCACGGTGAAATCCTCCGGGGTTTTCCGGTAGTCTCCCCCCTTTGAAGCCCATGTTGGCCCGATGAAGCCCAAGCCGGCGCCGATCATGATAGTGAATAAAACGCTCCGAATGCCGAGCCTAGAAGCGATCCGGCCAGCCCAATACGGAGCGAAATCGTACATGATCCAATCGGGATCCGAGGATTCGAGGAACTGGGCCACGGGTCCTTGGAGCATGTCGAAAGCCTTCTTGAGGTACTGGACCTTGTCGTAAGGCAGGTCGCTGGTGGCCTCGGCGCCCTCCAGCAAGTGTTCGACGGCCGGTAAGGGGAGCTTCACGAAGCTGATGAGAGAAGCGAGGTCCGGAGGGGGTTTCGGTAGGCGATCTATGTTTCTTGGGGCCGATAGGAACGATATCCGGTGGCCCTTTCCGGCCATCAACTTGGCCAGCTCCATGTATGGCGTCATGTGGCCAAAGGCGAACCAGGGAAGCATCGCTATGTGGAGATTGCCATGTGTGTCGGCCATTGCGGTATAGAACAGGACCCGTGGGGGAGCTCAACACAAGCTAGAACGCACATTCACAAGTGTGTGAGTGTATAAGACCGTGAAGTTATATATAAATAGAGCCATGAGTCGTGAAACTTTCCTCATCCATGACGTCTGTGGTCTTTCTTTACTAGCTTATGGACAACATTATCTAGAAACCTCATCTGGCCTGTGTTGGCCTTGTACAAAGACAACGCTCTTCCCAAATTAAGAATTGTCATTTACTTTTCTTTACTTTTCTTATAGCAATAATCTTATCCTCCTCCTTCCACCATGAAGTTCCAGGATCTGATTAATTGTTGATCTCTCATCTCTCCTTCCCGTTTCATCTTACCGATTGACTATCAGACGATTGACTGTCAGTTCACCTGGGTTCTTTTTTTGGGTAGGGGTACGTCGAGGGGCAGGGCACAAGAACAAGTTGGTAGATAAATTTATGACACATTTTATTTTTTTATTTTCAAAAAGAAGATGGCATTAATTTCAGTAGATGATGCTGCGATGAAGAAGTCGTAATTCATTGGGAATGATTATATTTCTATGAACTTTTGGCGCTTGGATAATTTTCTTTCATCAATTTACTCATTTAATGAAGTATGTACTACCATGGGATGACAAATAAACTTTTTGTGATGATTTTTTTTTTTATGTTTTCTGTCATTGACTAAAATTATTTACTTTTTACCAAGTTGGTCATGATGGTTCCCATGAAAAATCTGAATACATCGTGATTTATCAATATCATTTGCTAATGAAATATGTGTTATTATATGGCTCTTTAAATACCTGAACTTTTCTTCTTTAAATTCTTTTTTATCACATGTAATTATTAATTAAGTTTTATTTATTTGTTAGTGTTTTAATCATCTAAAATTCGGCAAGAGGGTGCTATGTGGGGGTGAGCATGGTCCAGATTGGACCGATCCAGCACCTAATCCCGAGACCAACCCGCATAGTGTTGGTCCCCCATTTTTGGGATTGGGGACCGACCTTATTGAGCTTGGGACCAAGGATCGGAACAACCCTATGGCTTTGGTCCGGTTTCAAGGTCAACCCGGGACCAATTGATTACTTTTTTGTTTCATTTATTTTTTGTATTCCTTGAAAGCACAAACATACTATTTCAAATTTTATAACCATCAATAATGCGACATTGAGCAACCAAACTATGAATACTGGTACATATTAAACATAAATCTAATAAAAGATAACAACATAAATCTCCAATTGCTAAAAGCAACAAACCATAAAAAACGAACACGTGAAATATAATTGATTCATAAGAAGTTCAAAATACGTAATATAAACTATGAATGCATACCATACATGTTTTTTTGTCTTCTCATCTATGATTCTCCGAAAATTATCCCATGCAATGGTTTTATCTATTATTCGCTTCTTACAAAGAGGAGGATTATTAGTAGATACCTCGGACGACTCTTTTAAGTCTTCTTCACATCCATGGCCTAGTGATTATATCATTAGACTCATTTCATAATATCCCTCCACTGCAGTTGACATGTTATATGAATTTATCAAGTTCGACTATATACCAGAATGTAATCAGTAATTGCCAAAGCCAATTGGCCTCAGCCCATTAAACCACTTTTCAATTTTCTTCAGTAGCCTCATTGAAGAAGCTAGACCAGTGGCGGACTTAGCAGGAAGACAAAGGAACTTGTCCATGGGGAAAAGAGGAAAGAGGAAAAATTTTAGAGTGTAGTCGATCCGGACTCTACACAAGCCGAATCAATTACGGATTGCAACGCCGGATAAGTATTTCAAATCTATTATTCATCTAATCGGAGTAATTTTTGAAGTTTGGTCTTAAATTTGGAGTTATGTGAAAGTTGATCTACGAGGTTCGATTGAGAAGTCATTGAGATTTAGATTTATTTGGAAATGATAGATAAGGGTGCTATGGAGCTGTGGGGTTTAGCGAAAATTGATTCCAAAGTACAGTTTGATTGGAACGAATTTTTGAAGTTTCTCGTTCGAGTTACGCGTAACGGTTAATACTGTAATGGAGAAAGATGATGGTTTGTTATAAACGAGTTTCCTCGTTAGCATGTAGGTGTTGTTTTATCGACTGATAAGCGTAGTTTAGTCAAATTATTCGTTAGGATAGTGTATTACTTGGTTTTTGATATAGTATTTCGATTAATTGATAGGAATACGAGTGCGTCGGCTCGAGTAACCATCGTAGGGGTGAGCATGGTCCAAGTGGGTTGTTCCCACCATGGAATCGATAACCGCCCACTAAGGATCTATTCCGAAAAATTGGAATTTGGAATCGGACCGCTGGTTTGGTCCGGTTTCTGGTTGGGTCTATAGAACCGGTCCCACCAAGCTTCACGCAAATGGAGGTGACCGAAAGTAAGAGAGGGAGGCGATGAACGGCCGAAGGTGCAGCTGTGAGTTGATGGGAGTTGAAAGTCGAGGCCGTGAATCGATAGATGTTGAGCTTGAAAGTCGCAATCATGAGTGAGAGATAGAAAGATGACTCAGACAAGGTGACACGAGCACTCAGTTGATGGACGTTGAGTTTCAGATTAGGGATTTTAAGATTTTCATTTTTCTTAAAATTTTTTCTTTTTTTTTGGAAATTTTTTTTAAAAATTATATATAGATATACCAGTTCGATCCAGATGGGTGGTTCCACACCTAGAACCGGGAACCAGACCGATACTCACTAGTTCTAGTAAATTGGAACTAGGAACCAGACTGGTCCCCACGGGAACCACTGGTTTCGGGCCAGTTCGATCCAGTTTCGAGCGGTTTCTGATTCTTTTTCACACCCTTAAATCATAGTAGGTTGGTTTTCGGCCTTACCAAGTGAGTGGTAAATCCTCATATCTTGAAAGTGGTAGAATTATATATAGGATGAGCTATGAAAGAGCATGTTTTTTGCATAAATTGGATCGAACTTTTACTATATTTTTAGTTAATTGACAAAGCATTGGAAAGCATTATTTAAGATAGTTTGAAATGATCATTTGTGAACGTCTTGATTAAATGCTTTGTAGAGGGAATTGCTAAAGCTATATGCAATTGATTGAAAAATGCTTTATGAAATGCATTTTATTTGAGAAATGGAAAGATTGTATGATTTGGTATGTGAAACCGGTTTATCATATGGTTTCTGGTTTTGGTTGAGTTATTGGAGATTGAGGTTGATGGATTATGCTCATATCATTATGTTTAGTACCCATTGAGGGGAGTAAGTATGCATACTGTATCAAAACGTCCTTCTAGGCCGAACGACTTGCCGGTATAGGTGGTAGACCTAGTCAAGGAGGGTAAGCTTGGTCGCCTTTGATACGGGCGTTAAATTGTGACTATAGTTATATGTTGAGCATTAGATCAGTTAATGGATGGCCGTTGACGTTGATTTGGTCGAGATTAATCAATGAAATAGATCATTGCTTGTTGATAATGTTGATTGAACTTATACATAACAAGTTTTGTGGAAAGATATCATCACTTTTGATATTTTACATAATTGTATTCTAGATTCGAACTGGATGAGACATGTTACTATTTCATAAAGGTGCATGGTGAATGTTTGATCCGCTTAGAAAAGATATATTACTCATTGAGTTGTGGTTGCTCATTCCTTTCATCTACTTGCTTTTCAGGTTCTTCAGCGAGCCACAAATAGGTCGCGAGCATTATCGTCAGCAGGAGGATTCTTGGATAGTGGGATTTTGGATATGAATTGTTTATATTGGAGATGAGCTTCTGAGTTAATTGTTTGTTGGATATGTGTATATATCTTTTTGAAGGACTATAGAAATTATGATACTGTAACCATATGACCTTTTTATCAAATGTGTGTGTGTATCAATGTATAGATTGCAATATCATGTTGAGTTATGATTACGTTTGAGGTTGCGTCCTTTGGGTGAAAGGTCGGCCGTGTCATTGCCCCTATCCTTATAGAGTTAAGGGTGTGACTTTTGTTGGTATTAGAGCTTATGTTACGATCTTCTAGGTATAGATATGCCATGAGATTGTGTAATAGATGTTAATGGATTGATCTTTTAGATACTAAGGTGTAGTTTCATTCTTGGATCCACATAATCAGGAGTTCTAACTCAGAGCCACTTGCCTCTTTTTACAAGAATAATATGGGCAAGCGAATTATTACCTCTGGTACCAAGAATCTGCCTCAAGGTTCTTGAGGCACGGCTTCAATAAGAAAAGGAGATGATACAAGCTCAGACTCGCAGGAATAAGAGATGATCACTAGTAGCCTGTCACCCAAAATGATATATTTGGAGCTTGCAAAGTAGTGCTCGATTTTCATCGTTAGCTGAAAGAATTGAGTGCAATTGGAGCTGTTGATTTTCGAAATAATAGAGACTACACCTTTGCCCAGTTCAGAAAGGCGAAGCCAACAACTAATGATGGGAAATCTTATCCTCTCACGGTCGAGCGTTAGATTAGAAAAATAGAAGGGATCTTCAGAGCTAAAAGAGTACCCGATGATCGGAAAGTTGACTTCACCATTAGCAATATTACATAAGATTAATTACTCAAATTTAAGCAAATGTCATAGTATTTCATGATGTATAAATACTACATAATAACTCATCAACTTACAAAGGAAATATCTATTCCCGACTCGTCATTAGCTAGGATCCATCTCGACTCGTGAGGTATCTTGAACATTCCCAAGGCATCTTGATACACGAGGCATCTTCACTACCAAATCTTGAGAAATGGAATCATAAATACTTCTTTGGCACACCACATAGCCCAAGCGTCCTCTACATCAGTGAAGATAAATATGCCACTTTATGACTGCGTGATGATGTCCAACTCAAGCTACACAAGCCAACTCATATGATGTCTAATTTATAGGACTTTCATGTCCCTTAAACCTTGTAGAGATTCGTCTCTAGACGGTACAACATCCGTCTTTTCCTAGAGTTTTTCATACATACTCATACAAGGGAATTAGCTGTGGCAAAGGTCTTGCTCACATGGATCATTCACATACATTTGATAACAACGTAACA